TGCTGAGCAAGGTCACCCCGAGCTCTTGGCTGGTTTTCCTCTTTGGGGTCTTGAACCCCTGGGGCTGTGTCGACAAAATACCGTATCGTCGTAACGGAGACATCATTTCTCGTCAGACGCCCTCGGCCGCCGCAGACATGGCCTCGTGAGCTGCAGTCCCGCAGAGCAAAGCTTCGTGCTGAGGTGTCACTTGAGGAGACCGACCTGTGACTGGGTCAGGAATTCGGGTTTCCCTTTCAATGACGTTTAAGACCATCCCTGTCCACACTGGTCACTAATGTCGAGGTTCCCCACGAAACCCACAGCTCCCCGGGGCACATCTCGCATCACCTGGGCTTTTCACCACCTCTTATTTAAACTCGCCAGGGACGTTGGCGTGGCAACCTGGCTAAATCACAGCCGAAGCAATAACGAGTGTGAAGCCCGGGACTAATTCCCCGTTTATTCCCATTTTCGGCTCGGTTTTGTTTCTGTAATGGCTATGAGAAAGGGCTGGACCTCAGGTTGTCCACACTGTGCCTACAGCAAACCGCTTCCACAGCAGCCCATGAAGGGACGCTCAGGACCCCACGCCTGCCGCACTCCCTGACCCAGCGGCTTCATTATCTTCTTTTGTACTTTGTCCAAAAGTTCTTTGCATCATTAAAGACCTTTTACACACCGCTGACTGCTGCCGCCTTTCTTCCTGCGCCCAGCAATCAACTTCTTATTTATACCAAATTGTTCTTTTAACTCTTACATCAAGGAATTCCGAAGCTTTGAAGCATTTCCAGCCTCCCTCTGCCTCCACGTCCTCCCCGCACCAACCCCGCGCGATGCCCAGCACGGGGTCTCGCACCGAGTCACGCGGGGCGCGTTTTCCCACCCTGGGAGACTTTCAGATTTCCACAAATAAGAAAAGGAATAGTGAAACTTCCCGGGGTTGCTGAAAGTGCAATCCTGTGTGTTCCACCTTTCGGTTTGAATTCCAGCTTCTTTCATTTTTACCATAATAAAGTCACTAATTGACTCTGTACTTTTTTCCAAACAGAACGAAATACAAATTTGAAATAAAATGTTAACATTCAGTAGTGTCAAAACAGGGTATTCTATCAACTTGAAAGACATCAAGCGTCTTTTTGGAAACAGGAGGCTCCCCAGAACAAACCATTTCCTGTAAATTTGTGGGTTTGAGGAACCAGCAAAACCAGGTTTTGTCGCTTAAAACGGCTCCGTGTCATCACTCGTGCATTCCTGACATTTAGAAAGCGATTGAGTTTTAGGAGATGTAAAAATCTCCGTGGGTTTCAGAGCAGCCAGCATCGCCCCACGCCCTATTCAATGAACGAGTGCAGGCAGCAGGCGAGTAAGAAATCGATGGCAGCCGCAGCATGACTCGGGACAGCTCTGTTATCCTCTAGTATGTTAGGGTATGACTCACATAAAAAGATAATAGTTAAATCTGATTTTTGAAGAGGCTGGCGCAGTGCTCAGAGCCGTGACAGTGACATTTTCTGGTGCAATGAGACAACTGTCACGACCAAAACGGCTTCTGGATTATGGGCACATCCATTTTGCTCCTGATTTTGTTCATAGATGATAAATAAAACCCCAAGCAGAATATCTGTTTGCTCGTGACCCGTGGAGACGGGGATGTGCCGGCCTTTCCCAGGCAGACAAGCGCCTGGTTTGGTGCTCCAGAGCAAACCCGGAGGGATCAAAGGCAGCGCACCCCCCCACCATGGAGGCCAGCAGGCAGGAGTGACTTCTTCGACACAGCGATTTACGCGGAGAAGCTCTTTAAAGCTTTCTTCAGAGAGCCGTGCGACCGCCCTTGTGCTGAATGAATCACTGCAGCCCACTTCATGGGTTTCAAGGTCTCAGTGTTTCCGAGCTCCCCGGGTGTGGGGATGCGGAGGAGCGAGACCCGGGCACTGCACCCAAGCTGCCCAACGGGGTTATTGCATACCATGAACGGCACATTCACTATCAATTAGAAAGTTTGCTGAGGAGTTCTCTCTCCCCCGTGACGGCGGTGATCCAGAGAACTCCTCGCCCCGGTGCCGCAGCCCTGAGCCCTTCCCCTCCTCCCGAAGCCGCAGCGCTTGCAGTTTCTACAGATGGAAGGGGCTGAGGATAGTCCTTGTGTATTTTATATTGGTATTGGGATCAATACTGGTTCTTTAGTGTTATTAATGTTAATTATTCAGTCTTATTCTATTAAATCTGTTTATATTTCAGCCCTCGGGTTTCCTTGTTTTTCCCAATTCCCCTTCCCGGGTGGGGAGGGGTCATCGGGTGACAGAACTTCTACATGACAATAAATTGTTGTGGGTTCCTCAAACCATAACAAGCCCACAGAAAGGGCTTGCTGTCTCACCAAAGGTATGGGAACAAGGTATAATATGCATTGTAGACCCTTTTTATCTTAATACTTTTTAAAAGCAGAATTTTTTAAAAGTTCTAAATATGCTTTTATGGGCTTGTCCCTCTAAACTGGTGTAAAGCCAATGTGAACAGACGGCTCTGGTCGACATTACCTGGATAACTTCAAGGTAACACGAAGCTGCTTTTGCCAGTGAAGCGCTGGTGGGATGGTGCTCGTTTTCACTGCGGTTACAACGCGATGGGACCCCCTCAGCGGTAACAGACGGTGTTACTTCGGTTCTGCTCAGCGATCGTCCTTTGGCTCACTGGGCAGAGATACGGTCACATCCCGGCACTGACCCCAACTCACCGCTCAGCCAAGGCTCCAGATGGAAACCCGCGAGGAGGGACGGTGCGTCGCGCGGCTCTTTCAGCGGACAGCGGGTGTCTCTGGAGAGAGAAGCACAAATAATCTGCGGGAAGTGGCCACGCTTGCTTGGAAGATCATTTTTTTTTTTCATTATCTGGGAACAGTTCACAGTGCAATGCCAGATGCTCATATTTTCCACCACACAAATTATATTTCCGGTGTTAAAAACCTCTTCAACATTAATCTTTTGCAGTGCCCTTTTTATTATCCCATCAAAATTAATTTTGTACTGTGCTTTGAGGATGAAAAAAAAAACCCACCCTCGTAAGTGCTCGGCATATTTGGTTATATTGTTTCACAGCATTACAGTTGCATATGGAGTTTATTCTTCCTTCAGTAGAATACACTTAACCACCTCCAACAATTAACGACGAAATCGAACACCAAATTTTCATTATGTAAATAAGTCCCCATTTAAAATAACTAAAAATTAAGACGTGGGGGTTTTGTCTAAGAAGGGAAATTTCCCCAATTTCATTCTTCTGCTCTTTCTTTTGTATTAAAAATGCACAATGCTTCTGCAGCGTACTGCAGGCTTGAAAGGAAACTACTTACAAAGCACTGGCAGCTAAATCCGGAACGTAAAGCAAAGAATATCTCACAGCAAAACCGTTTCTTTAAACAAAAAGAAAGAGAGTCCACCTCTTTTTTCTGATTAATACGTTTTAATTATATATGGCATTGGGTCTGGCTCCACTTTCTATTTTCATATACTTTTAATGCTGCTAAGATACTAAGTTGCTTTTTTCTGAAGTCTAATTTCTTCCTTCGTGGAAAAACTCCATCTGCGAGCTACGGGCTGGGATCCCACATCACACACACCAGCTCCGTTACAGACCTATTTATCATTTTTAATACATGAGGCACATCGCTACTTTATTTTGTAATATCCCATCAGGCACAAAACTTTGATACGTATGGCAAGCTCTGATATCTATGATACATAGGGCAAGCACTTTGATACGTATGGCAAGCAATAATTTCACCTCCTGTCAAAGGAGCAGCACAACAGCTCCATGTCACCAGAGACAAATTTGACTCTTTCTGTACTATTATCTGCAGAGAACACAGAAATTTGGGGCACCTTTCGGTGGAAAAGCCATGACCCATAATGAATCATCGACTGGCCGTTCCAGGGAGGGAGGGAGCGTGTCTGGGGAAAGCCCAGGCTCTCCTGCCCCCGCTTCCTGCGGGCTGGATCCGAACATTTCTTGTCCAACAGCCATCGGTTTGCATTTGGGACGTGTGCTTGACATAACATGCCCAGCTCCTGCTGTACCTACCGTGGGCGCTGATGCCCATCAACACTTGAGTTAGGTTTGGCTTTCCCACGGCAGCCCATGGAGTCCACGTGCTGAGTGCCTCCAACGCTGCCCAAGAACTTGGGTCCCTCATCTGCCCTGAGTCCTGCGCTCCTGAGAGCCAGGCGACGTGTAGGTACTTGATCAGCCTTTCCTGTTTGTTTCTGCTCCTTTTCCAGACTG